ATATAGACCACTGTGGGCAGGGCAGGAACATCGAGCAATTTTTATTATTTATTATTTTGAAGCCACAAAAAGTCGATCAGTAAGCAGTAAGGCTGCTCAAATATAGCAAAAATCATCATCTCAATCCCCAATATAGTTTCGTCTCAATTACTTAACATGGTTATTAACTAACTTAAAAAATGTCTTTTTAAAGGTTATTTATTTGGAATTTAAATACAATTGATAATAAACACAGGGTCATCTGGTAAAGCGTTAAGCAGAAAGTATTTTTGACTGCAAAGCCCATCTTGCAAGAGCAACTGGTGCATTGCCTCCACTTTGGTATCTCTCCAGAGGCAGACGGGCAAAAACAGCCCCAGAGTCATTTGGGGACCTGCAATGCAGCCACGGCTCAAGCAGCGGAGAGCTAAAGACAGCGTTTGCCAACTTTTAGTAATTCTTCCATGGGTTACACGTGCCTTTTACTTTTTTAAGATGGATTGATCAAGAGATGGGTCCAAGCTTTTAGGGAGGGGTAAAAACATACCAGTATAAAGGAAAGACAAGAAACAAGAGCTTTGGAAAGAAAAGAAACAGAAAAAAAAACTGTGTGTGTGTTTTAAGCTTACCTGTCTCCAGTGGTTTTCAAACACCATGAGACAGGTCTCTGGGTCTGCAGTGCAGGGGCTGGAAGGGGCGGCACTCCGGCTCGACCGACTCCCAGAAGCCCGTGGGTTTAACCTGCTCAGCCAGCTCATAGTGAAACCAGCTTAAAGCAGACCAAAGGTCACTAAAACTCAATGACGTTGAGTCTAACAGAAGGCAAAGGAAATTATATGGAAAACCAAAAGGAAAACAAGAAGTGGGAGAGAGGAAGTGCAAAAAGAAGGGCAGAAAGGGAAGGGAAAGTGTATCACAACAGAGAAGAGGAGAAGGAGGTCGGTTGTGCAGGCTGTCAATCCCGCTCAGTGTACATCTAGGAAAAGCCTGCTGCTGCTGCAGAAACTTTGTGACCCTGTCCTCCTCGTAGACCCTGTCATCCAGTCTGAAGCCAACACCACTCCATAGCCGGTCAGGACTGGCAGTCTCTCTGTGTGAACAAAAAAAAACAACAACAAAACAACATTAACATCATATAAACCTGGAATAATAACAGCTTCATTCACAAACTTGCTATTAATAAAAGATCTCATTGCATTTCTCTTAATGTGGACTTGAAACATGACAGAATAACCACTAGATTAGAGTGGGAAGTATGCATGTAAGGCAACATGGATTTCCATGCCTCACTCGCTGTGGCTCGGGAGGCAGCGTCCATGGCAGTAAGCTACCCCAGGACCCCACAGATCTTTCAAGAAAGCCAATATACATTCAGAGGAATGACTTCAGGTGGACATTGTTGATAAAATACAGATTTATAAACGACATTATGCATATGGC